AAGGGAAAACGAACAGACAAAGCCCCACTTTAAGTCCTCCTGTAAGATGTCAGCCTTCAGGAAGGCAGCTCCGCCCTGCGGCCCTGGCTGGGCCCCCACCCCGAGTCTGAAGTCGCAGCCCCTGGGCACTCCCCCCGCCCCCCACGGGCCGGGCTCCCGAGGCGCTGGGCGGGCTGCCTGTAAAGAGGAGGAAGGCGCGGAGTCCCTCTCTGATTCGGGTCCTTTAATGTATCTGTGATGAAAAGAATGCTACCGTCTAGATTACCCCCCACGGGCCGGGCTCCCGAGGCGCTGGGCGGGCTGCCTGTAAAGAGGAGGAAGGCGCGGAGTCCCTCTCTGATTCGGGTCCTTTAATGTATCTGTGATGAAAAGAATGCTACCGTCTAGATTTTTTGGTATTGTAACATGTGACCGACTGCCAAGATCATGGTATTTTATTTCTCAAATATTCCAAGAGTTTTCCGGCTACGCCTTTGTTTGAAGTGCAATTAAGTCCTTAGCTTAAAGGTCTAGATCAAATGTCATGTCTCCCAAGAAGTTTTCCCTGATTTTTCCAGCAGAAATGAAATATGCCCTCCACTAAAATGCCAAAATTTTAATAAATTAACATTCTACCACTCCTAAGGCAAACATCTCTTACTGCTTTATAGTTCTTTCCTGTACATGTATCTACTGCTTCCAGAGAAATGGTTTTGTCATATTTAATCACTCCAGCGTTGAACTTATTATACATGTTGTCTATAAACAGAAGTAAACGTATATACTAGTTAAGCAAATAAAAACTGCATTGAAATCAAAACACCATTAAAAATACTGTATCACAGCGGAAAACAATCCTCTGAGATGATTTCATCCGTCCACCTGAAGAAAACTGCCTTGATAATTGGTTTACTGCAAAGTGACACACATTTCTTTGGTCCTACCCCAGTCCCTAGTATTTACTAGTATAAAAGGCTGAAAACATATCAAAAGTTAAAAAAATGAAGTTAGACTTTAATGCAAAAAACTTGGCTAATTTGGGGTATGTCTTCCCATACATTTTCTTTCTTTATACATTTCATTTTATTGTGGTAAGATAAATCACCATTTTGTGTTCCCACCAGCAGTGCACAAAGTTTCCAGTTTTTCTACTTCCTCACTGACACTTTTTTTTTTCTTAAGAGTGGCTGTGCTGGCAGGTGTGAGGTGGCATCTCAGTGTGGTTCTGATTTGCATTTCCCTGGTGGTTAGTGACACTGAGCACCTTTCATGGATGTGTTGGTCTTCAGAGTGTCTTTTCTGGAGAAACGTTCCTTCAAATCTGTAGCCCATAATTTTATTGGGTTATTAGATTTTTTTGGCTATTGTAAGACTTCCTTATTTATCTGGAAATTAACCCCTTCTCTGATACATGGTTTGCAAATACTTTCTCTTATTTTCTTGGTTGCCTTTCACTCTGTTGCTGTTTCCTTTGCTGGGCAGAAGCTTTTTTGTTCGATGTAGTCCCACTTGTCTATTTTTGCTTTTGTTGCCTGTGCTTTTTGGGTCATATCCACAAAATTTATACTTTTTCCCATGGCTTTATGTGCACAGATGCATTCACAACATCTATAACATGACCTCATTTTTATAGGAAAAAATACACATATAACCTAATCTTTATTATTTATACTTCAAGTATTTGGAGCAGTAAAAATGTATTTTCCCCTTAGTAGCCTAGAATGTGTTGCATCTCATGTCAGTGTATATAAACAGGTTTATTTTTTAAATGGCTATATAATAATAATAAGAACTATTATTTTTAAGTGTACATGAATATAAGCTTCATAATTTTATAATTTAAAATGAGGTATTTGATGCATATGTTGCAAATTATCTTCCATAGATAGTCATTTAAAAATGTGTTACTTACTTTGCTGTATAAATGTCTTTAAATTTTAGTTATTTAAATCTATCCATCCTTTTCTTAGTGGTGTCTAAGTTCTGAAGCACACTGTAAAAAGCCTTCTTTCTCTATAAACAGTCCATTTCAAGTTTCTATTATGTTACCAATTATCTTTTTTTTACCATGTGCTTCATTCTTTGGACACAGTAATTGGCCACACATTTAACAAGTATGCTCCTTACTTGCCAAATGGATGTGTGGTAATCCAGAACAAAAACACACAGTATCAATAAATACGGTGAAAAAAGCAATACAAAGGGAAATAACAGTAGAAATTAATGACTAGAATGGGAAAAATACACACATCTGGAATACACATTGGTGTAAGTTGTTAAGTAGAGTCCCAACTTGATTTTTTTTCCAGATGGCTACCCCTACTTGTCCCAAACCATTGGTTAGATCATCTATCTTTTCCACAGTGATATGAAATGATGTTTTTATTTAATACCAGGCTTTCATGCAAGATATTTTTCAAATAAGTCCTCATTTAGCCTACTGCTTCCACTAATAAATAAGCCTTCAGTGTATCTTTAAGCTTTCTCCTTCCTGCATGCTCCAACCCTAATTGCATGTGGGTGACAGTGGTGGCTTTGGACCCCTTGAGGTGTCCCTACTGTCACCTCCTCAGGTGGAGACAGGCCAGAGAAGAAGCTATTTGAGTTGTCAGTCTCCACTGTCACATCTGGCAGTATGGTGCCTTGGCAGTTGATGTGATGTATTTTGGGATGTGTGGCCCACTCTGTGCACTTCTACACCTATGAATTAAGCCTAGTCAGTGTGTTCAGAGACAAGGTAAAGAAGTTTGCATCCCTAGAAATTTCAGATAGCTGTCACAACATCACACTGTAAGGACAGCCGCCCCATTGCCTTCTGAGAGCATCTGAGTAGTATTCGTATCATTGAGATGACTAGAAATTTTCAACCACTCTCAAGTCAGCGAGCAAACTGCAGTGTAGTGTGCTGACAAAAGGGAGGTGGAGACCCAGTTTCCCATCCCTGACCTGACTAAGGTAATAAGCAAGGTTTTAGGGGATCAACGCAATTCCTATGAGTCTCAATTTTCTTCATTGTCTATAGAAGGTAGTTGAACCACATGATCTCTTGGCTTCCAGTTAGATAAAAGAGACTGCAACTCTATAATAATATGGTCCTTTCATTTGTTCATGTAAAATGTATTTACAGGCCAGTGGACTCCTTGCTATGTGCAAAGAATTCTTCTAGTCACTGATAAATAAAGTGTGGTTATTGTGTTAAGGACTTTATGAAAGGGACTTCTTGGGCAGGGGGAAGTGGAATGGAACAGATCGATGGGACCTGAACTTAGAACATGTCAGTCTCCCCATTCCACACTGGAATGCAGGCTCTGTGATGTCATGTATCGCTCCCATAAGGCTCATTATAATGATCTGGGTCAACATAAAAGACACTGTGCAGGTTTGTGTGGAAATAACAGTGGTTGTCCAAAAATCCTTTTTCCAGTGAAGGCAGCTAGTGTTATTGTTGATTTTTTTTTTCCAAGACCCTTGCTTAAGACGAATTCCTGACAATACGTGGAAGCTGTGCCTCAGTTGCTAACCTCGAAGCTTTAATCAAGGCAGCTGAAGTTTCATCATCCCAAACTGATCTCGTTTTCCTATTTAAACTAGTATAACTCTGCTCTGGTTAGTTCTTTTCCATTCATTCTTTTTTTTTTTTAAGCAGAAACTGTCATCCCAGTTACTCACAAAATATCTTGTATTAATGACTTTGGAAAGGTGGAGGCCAGAGAAAACCACTTCAGGCCAGAAAATTTCTTTTTACAGAAGTTCAAGGTAAGAGAAAACAAAAACCCATTGGCGATCAGTGGGGGAGGGGGAAAGGATCAGCTGGAACTATTAAATTCATAAGCAAGGTCGGGAGTAACAGGGGTAATGGAGAGCCATGGAAGGCTGCCAAGCTGGAAAGCGACAGGATTAAAAACAGAAATAAGGTGTGATGAGCTTAGGGGAGGGCAGACGCGTTAGACTCTGAGGAAGAGCTTCTCCGCTTCCACTTTCTGGAGTACAGCGAGTGGAGGTCGGACCACGCCAAGAACTGGCCAGCTCCCGAGCATACAGCAGAGTGAATTTACAGGGTCTGGCCCGCATCTCAGTGGTCACTGTGCACAGTCTCCATACTGTACGTCGGTTTTTTCATAGGTCTAAAAGGAATGTCTGCACAGTTAATTTCTGCCCAGTTAAGAACTGGTGAGGGGTTTAAGAAGTTTAGCCATTTTAAAAGAGTGAAATAAGTGAGCAAAATTATGTTTACAGTAAAATCGAATTCTTTCCATCTACCTTCCATCCAAGAATGATGTTTTAGACACTTTTATGATGGCAGACCAGTGAGTACCATGGTCTGTAGGCAGAGCATGGAATATAACTCTGGCAATCCATTGTACATCTAAAGTCAGGGAATACTTTGATGGAATTGTTTTCATTTTCATTTTGTTGGGATGAATACAATTAAATAAAGGTGCACAGGATCTGATAAAGGAACAAGAAAATTCTAGGCTCTGGCCAAGCACATAAGAGGGTCAGAGGGGAGCAGGTGTTTATACATATCACAGTCATCTTCTTGCAGTTTCTCAACTAAATTCCATTCACGGAGTTCTCTAAAAGATTTGGACCACATTTACAATTCAGATACTATTAGAGATCATCATAGTTCAAATCTCTATGCTGGCTTACACCGAATTACCCAAACTTCCAACCTAAAACCAATGTGTTAAATGTTTCCACGGCTTTTTATATATATAACCGACTCTTGAAATGAGAACTCTCTTCGGGGCAAGCATCCTCCATGTCCCACATGTGGCTGCCACAGGGAGAGGTTCCTTAAAAGTTTGGGGTCGATGATGAAGCCAGGGTACGGAAGTTCCACATGACATCACAATTGGCGTTGTGTCGGGGCGCCCATGTCAGCTGGTGAAATGAGGTGCAGAGAAGTGTAAGAGTTTCTTGTATTAACATCACAGCAATTTGTTCCCCTACTTGTTACTCAAAACAACAGAACCTCAGGGAGGGCTTTTCTAATCCCCGAATGGAGGTGTGATCTGATGTCCTTCTTTGAGAAAATATCTACAGCAGACTTAATGGAGACTTTCAGGGAAGAACTGACCTGTTTCATCTGCTTGGACTATTTCAACAGCCCAGTGACCACCGAGTGCGGGCACAGCTTTTGTCTGGTGTGCCTCCTGCGGAGCTGGGAGGAGCAAAGCACCCCTTTATCTTGCCCCGAGTGCTGGCGGACCTTGGAGACCCCGCATTTCCAGCCCAACGAGCATCTGCGGAGACTGGCTGCTATGGGCAGGCAGCTCAGATCCCAGGTGCTGCACAGTGAGGGCGAGCCAGGCAGCTCTGGGAAAACGCTGGCCGACTCTAAGGTGTTCTCTGATGAGGAGCAGGGTGCAAGCCCTTTCTCAACCCAGTGGCATGGAGTAAACAGAGGGTACCTCTCGCGTGAGGCTGAGAAGCATCACAAAGTAAGACTGGCCGCTCGATACAAATCTCAGAACACAAATCACCTTCCATCACTGAACTCCCGTAATATTCCGGGTTGGTGCCAGGCATGGGCGCTGACCTACAGGCACCAGACCGCACACCTAGCAGGGATCCCACTCCACCTTTTGTGTTAGGGTCCCAGTCACCTTGCCTTTGGTCCTCAAGGCCCCTGCACGATCTGGGGCTCTGCTCACTTGCCACAGAGAGTTTGCATAAAAAGAAGAAGGAAACTCAGGTTATATTAACCCATGAGAAGGAGAGAGTGATATTGTGTAAGGTCAGTATCTGTCTTACTTTCAGATCTTGGAAAAGATTCCATGACAGGGACTAAAGGGACACTTAGGGAAAGAAGACAAAATGAACCAATATCACAGTATGCGATTCACACCGTGTGGTGTCACTGGGCTGACCTGGGACTTTCAAGACTCAGCTCAAACGATCCCCCCACCCCACGCTGGTGTACTGTTTTCCTTCTTGGAGCACCTTTACCACTCAATGGCTGACTCTATTATGGGTCCCATTATAATGATTTCAAATACGAGTTATACTTATAGACATACAGGATGCAAATCAATTAAAAAAAGAGGAATGTCTCAAATGCTTTGGGGATAAAAGAGATTGCAAATGAAAAAGAAATACAGAGAAGGGGAAATAAAGGCAAAACAGGAATTTGGATTTGCAGACCTGAACACATGCTCAAGGTTAGGCACAGATTGGAATGTGAGGTGACTAGCAAAGCAAAACACATGGTTAGATGTTTAAAAATTATGTGTTTATCTGCTTCTCCCCAGAAACTTGGAGTTCTCAAATGGGAGTATCTGTGACTAACGTCTATTCCTAGGATGTGATCCAATACCTATTTTCAGTGAAAGAATATTTATTGAATGAACGAGTGAACACACTTTTTTCATATTTTTTGTTCTTACTTTCGTTTGCTTTACTTTTTATCACGATACTGGCCGCCACCCATCATATATTTTTGGTGTGGTTTATTTTCGGTTTTCCCTCCTAGTATGACAGGGTCCTGGGAATAGAGACATTGGTTTTGTTTGCCACGGTCGCTATCGCACACAAACCTGCTAATATCACACTAGCTACCCAGCTAGCTAATAGAATATACACTTTTTGAAAATCATGTTTTAAGAATTGTCACAGTCTAACTCCAGGCCTCGGTAAGGATTGAAGTTCTGCATAGGTGTTTCTGTGACTAACTTTGTTCCATTGCTCGTGTGTGTGTGTGTGTGTGCGTGTGATGGCAGGAAGAGACAAAGGCCTGTAAACAGGTTGTTGTGTGCGAATACATAAAAATGCACCAGTTCCTGAAGGAGGAGGAGCAGCTGCAGCTACTGTTACTAGAGGAGGAGGAAAGAGAGAATCTGAAGAAGTTGAGGGACAGTGAGATGGCGCTGACCCAGCAGTTAGGAAGCCTCAGCAAGATGATCGAACAGATGGAGTCCATGTGTCACAACTCGATTTTAAAATCTTTTGAGGTAAGACTACTGGAAAAATTAATAGGGAATAAAACCATGTAGTAACTCATAACATTTTCAGCCATGCAAAATCAACTTTTCTTTATTTACCTGAAAAAATAAGTTTGGACCCCAAACAGCTTTCCTAAAGAATAAACTTTCTATAGCATAAATAAAGTCCTGAAGAGTCAGAGGGAAAGAATGTAGGAACACCCATCCACACAGAGCCTGACGGCGGCGGCAGTTTCTGTGGTGCCTGCCTCTCTGCATCCTCTGTCAAACATTCAAGTTGAATGAGCATTTACTATGTGCTGGCGCATTACATTTCATGTCCATCAAGACCTGATGAAGTTAAATATTATTTTGATCTGTACTATAGGTGATTGTTATCTACAAGGTGGGTTTAGAGTGGGGCTCATTTAACCGCTCAGACCCAAGGCAGTCAGGCGATTTGCTTGTCCAAGACCTAACGTGGTAGAAGGCGGCATTCTGTGTAGGGAGCCCGTATTCCCCACCCTCTTCGCTCCCCTGCTTTTCCAGGCTACACTACATGCACAAGGAACCTTCTTAAACCTTTGCTATGTGAGCCAACTCCTGCGTCAGGTCTCTGTCCTGGACTGGCTCCACGGAATGCCTATTTAACACGGTGTCTTCCCAGCAAACTACTCCAACCACACAGAGGCCTGGTGCAGGTCTCAGGGGCCACCAGGCTTCCCTCTGCCATCCCAGGGCATTGAATGATGAGACCAGGTCTGGCCCCACTGTCAGCACCAGGTCCTGACAATGGGATGAGGTGAGAGTAAGAGGACAAAGTCATCTCTGTTCACTGTGGGAAACACAGGCCTGAAAATCCACTGCTAGACGGATTTTTGTAGGAACTTTTCCTACCAAATGTCTCCCACTCAAGGCATTCTAGAGCCCTAAGAAGCAGATTCTGTGGACTTTGCCAAGGACTCTATCCTTGGCAGGTGGGTTCAGCCTCAGTTAGTGAAAGTGCACACACGCTGACCTTCTTCTCTTTTCTGCCCACAGGATGTGAGGGGAACCGTGGAAAGGTACGTTTCCATTGCATGCTCACTTACGTAAGGTACAGGGGTGTGGTGCTGGTGAGATAGCCTCTTGCAGGGGGATGAGAGTATCCACGCTATGGGGCAAAACCAGCTGGGCTCTCCCTGCGGAGCAGGTCCTGTGGTCTGCGTGGAGAGACAGAGCCACTGTCCCTGTCCTCTTGCAGGGGCGAGGCAGTCCTGCTTCAGTGTCCAGAGGCCACCACCATGGAGCTGACATTGTGCCGCATCACTGGGATGAGAGAGATGCTGAGGAAATTCAGCAGTAAGTCGGCCTCATTTTCAGACTTGCAGGGATTTCCTGAGTTAACTTCAGTATCTATTAAGGGATGCAAACATGTGCTTTTAGGCAGCTTTTTCTAACAGTACTCATTGTCTGGGTGCCAGTGTCTGGGTGAACACAGCCTGAGTCAGCACCGAACATCAGGGGTGCTGGGCCGCCGAGCAGCTCCATGCTATAGCGGCAGGAGCAGAGCCTTGGCTGATATTTCATCGGCTTTTGTTTTTCCATCTAAGGCATCCGGAGCTTTCGTTTGAATCGTTCTGTTTTGTGCACACACATGTACACCTCCTCGGGGGGTTCTGCATTTCTACCTCTGTTCTTGGTAGGATAAAAGCTGACTTAAACTCTTAAGTCCCAAAGGGGGAACATTCAAAGAACTGTCCTCTCGGAAAGCCCCGGTATGTAGGCTGGCCTAGTCCAAGAAAAGTTAGCGTTGGTTTTCAGCTTTTACTTTGTGGACGACCTAACCTTCAGAAGAAGGCCTAATGGGCTGGGGGTTCAGCAGACATTTTAGTGCCTACTGTGTGCCCAGCCCTGTGTTATTAAGCTCTGAGCTTACTCACAATGATGAATCAGACAGACCTGCCTTTGCTTGTGTAGAATTTTCAGTGGAATTGAGGAAACAGGTAATTAGTTGATGATTGGGATTTGATCTGTATGCAAAAGCATAAGATTATATGATGGAGGCACCTGATCTTGTCTGGAAAGTCGGGGAAAGTGGGAGGACCATTTGTGCCCTCCCTCAGCATGATGGGCGAGGAGGTCTCTGGCTGGTTCACAGTGCGTTCACCCCACTGGGGGTGCTCGGTGGCTGCCCGACTTACACGCGGCAACTTTAGGCACGGCATAATGGGAGGCCCTGGCTGGAAGCAGCCATTCAAACTCAGTAACTTTGTCATCTTGGCCACAATTCCTCAGTCTTATCTTTTATAAAAGTGAGAAAAAGAAAATGTGCCACGGTGAGATGAGATGATGTCTCCCACACGCTTGACACCCAGGGTGGAGCTCAGTAGCGACAACTGGCTATATGGCCCTCCCATCCGAACTGGGGCGTCAGAGCCCACGGTGGCTGAGGTGAGTGTAAAGGCCAAAGGGCGCACCCTGTGTGGATAAAAATCTCTGAGTTCTGAAGCTCTCCATAAACAGAGCGAGTTCCGTTCCTTGATCGGAGGTCCCTGTCGCCCTTTGAGGCTGTCACTCTCCCCGTGAGGCTCACACTGTGTTTGTGAAACAGTGAAAGAGGGGCTCAGATAGTCTGTCCTGAACCAATCAAACTCACCTAAACCACACTGTAAAAAGTAGGGCTGAATACTCAGATTCTAAATCCCACAAAGATAAGAGGTTTTTCAAGAATGCAAAGGAAGATTCGTTTTTTCCTCTGGCAGCAGATGTAACCCTGGATCCAGCCACCGCCAGTGCCTGTCTCATCCTGTCTGAGGATCTGAAAAGTGTGAGGCATGGAGGAATCCGACAGCAGCTCCCCGACAGCCCAGAGAGATCTGACCAGTGGGCGACAGTGCTGGGGGCTCAGAGCTTCACCTGCGGGAGGCACTACTGGGAGATGGTAGTGGGCAACAAGACCGAGTGGGAGGTGGGCCTCTGCCAGGACTCAGTGAGCAGAAAGGGGAACCTCCCAAAGCCACCCGGGGACCTCTTCTCCCTCACAGGCCTGAAAATTGGAGATAATTACAGTCTTTGGGTCTCATCACCTTTAAAAGGTCAACACGTCAGAGAGCCTGTGCAGAAGGTTGGTGTTTTCTTAGACTACAAGTCTGGACATATAGCATTCTACAATGTGACAGAAGCGTCCCTTATCTACAGCTTCCCTCCAACCTCTTTCCAAGGGGCTCTCTGGCCTCTCTTTTCGCCTTGCCTCCCCAATGAAGGGACGAACACAGACCCTCTGACCATCTGCTCACTGACTAGCCATGTCTAAGGGAGATGCCCCAGAGTCTTCTTGGAAGATGAGATCTAAGACCAACAGATGACTAGTAATTAAGATGATTAATGTGTTGACAGTGTTAACATCAGGTGATCTGAAAGAAAAGCTCCCCAAAGAGTGTCCATTAACTTGAGCCTGCAGGGAACAGCCAAATTGGACAATCAACTTGCCACACCGAAAGGAGAAAGCTCATCATGTCTGGTGTCTTTAACCAAATTCATTATCTAGGCTGCTGCATGAATAGGCTGGTCACTAAAAAAGAGAGTACTATAGCCCCTACAATCCTGGATTCCACTGTCATAGTCCAGTTTTATATAAATACACATCATTATTTTTCAAGTGCGTTTATTTGATTCTGAAGACCTCTGTTACTTGCACGTGTCTTTGTTCTGCGTGGGGAGCTCTGCACTCTGGGGCAATCCCAGTTCTTCCAGAGTGCTGGAGGCGGGGGTTCTCTCGTCCAAGGCAGGAGAGACAGACTCGTAATTCAGATTTCCCTGAAAAGTCAGTTTTCTTCCCATCCCATGGGGCCTGGAGAATTTGTACCCAGTGAGACATATGTGTTCAGAAGCTGCAAATCTGTGTGTGAATATCATGGTATCAGTCATGTTACCATAATCACAAGGGGCTGGAACCTTCTGCTGCTTGTTAGTATGTTCAACGACGACAGCACAAAGTCTCTGTGCAATAAATGGGTCACGGCTGTGGGTGTCAAGTGACGTTGCTGAGATTTATAGAAGCTTAGTTCCTGGGCTTTTGCTCTTTGCTATGAGCAGAAGCCTTCAAATCCCTTTGAATACTTAATTTGATTCCAAATTAAGCCCACTGTCTACCTCGGAGCACAGGGTTTGAGAAGATGGGGATGGTGTCTGAGCAGAACTGCATTTGGCAAGCCTCAGACCACCTTCTGTTGGAGGTCTGCTTTCATGCAATCCAGTCTTGGCCCCTGTCCCTGCAGGGTTTGGGATTTTTTTCCTTCTTTCCTGCTCCCCTTGCAGAATGTCACCAATCACCGAGATTGGGATGACCTCGTCTTCCCACTCAGAGAAGTCAGTGTCAGCATTTCCAGTCTCAAACAAGAAAACCGATAATGTTGAGCCCTCACACAGCTGCATAATTATTGGAAAAAAATTTGTCACAGATTTTTGTCTGTAAATTAGAAACTAAGGGGAATTTGATCGTTGAAACTGTTAATCAGCACAGAAAACCACTGAAGGAGGTCAGTTAGTAACGGTTTTTTTTAAGGGTCCACGGTTACCCTTCTCATTAATTTAGATCTTTTTCTTTCAAACTCGTACACTTGAATCTTGGGCTCTCAGACCAGAGGAGCAGATACGAACTAGACCTTGGATCCCAGATCATGACCTCTTTTGTTCATTGTATTCACTATTTAAATTTAGAATAGTCAGAGAGGTTTACTTTTTCCCCAACTGCATTTTGTATTAACACCTTTCTCCCTAAAATAGTGACACCTACCTTGGAAATATTTCAGTTTTTGGTGCCAATGTTTTCCATATTCCACATAAGCATTTTATGGCTTTTCTGTCCCCTTTCTGAAACTGGAATCTCTAAGGGGTGGGGGAGCAACTTACAAAAACTCACCATGCTACACAGATCATTTGTCTGTGTCCTCACGCAATCATCACAACAAATAGGGAAATTTGATATTCTTGAGATGAGAAAACTAAGACTCTGAGAATTAAAAGAACTTGTGAAAGTTGAGACAGTTCCTTTGTGGTGAGGGCAGGTATTCCAGCTAAGGACTGTTGGTGTCAGAACCTAAGCATGGCTCTCTCCCTCCCGCCAGCACAGGCTTATTTGGAATAAATGCAGGGCGTCTGGCAAGACCACAACGTGTCTTTCACTTGTCTCCACAGAAATGCCAGTGAGTAAAACCCTTCAGACTACCTGCGGTGCACATCAGACATTTACAGGGGACGTGTAACCTACAGATACATGTGCACACGATCCCCAGGCAGCTTTCCTGCCTCCGGGAGACACACTGGGGAAGAATTAGAGATACACCCAAAGGTTATGCACACGTGTGTTCATCACTGTGCCGTTTATAACAGCTACAAATGGAAACAGTCGAAATGTTCCCCAGTAGGAGAGTGATTAAATAAATGAGGGACACTCACATGATGAAATATAACTCCCATTAAATATATTTTTGAAGACAATTACATTTAATGAATGATCCTATATTATTCCTGGATGCCAGAAGACTAAAAAACAGCTATAAGAAAGACCAAAAGGCTAATTGGGAAATTTTTAATATGTACTATTTGTTGAGTACTCTCATTTATGATGATGATGTGATATGGCCTAGGGTAAGACGTGAATGAGGAAAGCTATGGAAAACATGGGGCAGGGCCAGATTGATTACTGGTGGTATTATCCCAAAACATACCTGTTTTCCTACAGAAGCAGCCAGGAGCCCCTCTCATGGCTTTTCTGGAGGAATTCATGCTGCTTTTATATACACCCTAGTCATTTTATCACCAGCCCTTTGTATTAATGAGCGTCATTCAAAAAAGTCAGTCTTCAGCAATATAAATATTGAGAGCAACATTATACTCTATACAATATTCTAAGTTTTGTACTTAAAGTCTGTTTTTTTGCTTGTTTGCTTGTGTTCTGGGCACCATCTTAAGAAATAATGTAAGATTTTTCCTTTCTTTCTTCCCTTTGCATAAATCTAAAGAACTGTTACACTCTGCTAACATTTTATTAGACATTTTAAAGACTAACTGTGAAATGTGTTGTCTCTTTTGAGGTCCTGGAAATGGTCTATGCTTATCTGATTACACCTCATGTTCAGTCTGAGAAAATACACTGAGCTGGAAATTTATATGTTCAATTTGTATATGTAAATTGTACTCCTGTAACAACTTTCAAAAAAGTGGCTGCCTCTTATTGCAGGCTGGGTCTCTGTCTACATCAGCAGGTGCTGAATGGGAGGTGAGCATGTACTCTTTAAAGGAATGTTCTGGAAACCAGGATGGATTGACTGATTGGTTCATTCATTCATTCTTCCTTCTTTTTTCACTTTTTCTTTCTGTCTCCTGCTCCTTCCTTCCTTCCTTTCTGTATTAAAACCATGTTTTATATTTTTAAGTGGCTAAATTAAACATTTCCAAGCATTACCTTGTAAAAATACCCATTTCCCTGCTTTTCTCTTGCTCTTTTTATTGTGGTAAGAAAACCACATGAGCTTACTGCCTTCACACTTTTTGTATACCGTGCAATGGTCCTGATCACAGGCACGCTGTTGTGCAGATCACAGGCTGTTGTACAGCAGATCTCTAACATTACTCATAACTGAAACTTTATACCTGTTGATTAGCAACTCCATGTTTCCCCCTCTTCCCAGCCTGTACAAGTTCCATTCTATTCTCTGCTTCTCTCAGTTTGACCAAGACCTTTTCAATGGAGAGTAAGGAGGCAGGAGTGTGCAGAGGGAGTAATCTAGCTGACATGCAAACCCAGTGGCAGGCTGCCTGGGCCACGCACAGGGGGAGGTTTGGAGTTGAAATGGCCCTTTTGACTGAGGTGGCCCCGCCTTTATGCACTGCCACCGATGTGTCACTGCACGTGGGTGCCCTTGGGCAAGGAGCTCCCTTCTGCTGAGGCATTTCCTGGAAGGCTCACAGCTGCATGCACTCCATCCGCCCATGGCATTCCCAGCAAGAAGGGCAACAAGGCCTTCTCCACTAGGAGATCTGGGAGACGCACTAAAACATCCCTTCTGAGGCTGGAGGCTGGGACCTGAGCAGGGAAGGTGGAGCAAAGTTCTGCTGGCCTTCCATTTTAAAGCTCTATATTATTTAACTAAAAAAATCCAGGTGGGTGTATTCCTTTAATTAAAGTCATGTTTCACATGTCCACAAGCTAGCATCATGATTTTAAAATCATACACAGCTGATTCTTCTGTGCACAGAGGTTTAAATGCAGGCTTGTCATCTCAAATTGAAGCGTAAGCGTTCATGTGTATGTCAGTTTATTTCCATGTGAGTCTTCCACAAAATGCCCTGTCCCTGATTTGTTACCTCTGTCTTGTTTTAGTCAGTATTTGCTACCCTTCATTTGGATTGACGTCCATTTTTTGATTTTCATCCCATTTTGGACACCAGCTTTTGTTTAATCCACGGGCTGACTGTTGTCCTTCATGACATGCTTCTGATCAGCTTTACCAAATTCATTCTTCCCATGGCTGCCCTTCCTTAGGTGAGAGCATTCAGAATGGAAACAAGAAGCAGTGGGAGCACAAGTTGGAAAGGTATGGCAGCGCTTTAAGAGTGCACGTAGGAGACCCCCAGTTACAGGGAGCGCAGCAGACCAAGGGCCCAGCTGCTCAGCCGTGAAACCGATTGCAGCATCTGAACGTGAACCATGCTTCCTGCAGGCTTCTCTAGAGTAGGACCACTTCTCCTGAGCAGCGGGGATCCCGGGACAGAGCCATTCCCAGGACACACACACAGGATGCCTCTGTGGCTGGCTCTGGTTTACAGACTCCTTGATGTTTCCTTTCTCCCTCTCCTTACCCTGGGGGCAGCCCCAGCCAGAGCCTTGCACATTTCCCTTACAAAGAGTGTGCTGGAGCTCTGGGTGCGCTCACCCAGGAGGATTCTGTACACTGCTTCTCAAGTCAGAGTCCAGGGATGCCATGCTGCTAGTGTGAAATGAACTAAGGCGGGCGTAGATGCATTAAGCAGTCTGCAGATACTACAAACCAGGGCTTCTCCCTGTTGAGACCTAGTTGTTCTACAATTATCTCCCCCCAACTATGATCCTCAACAGCATTTTGACTCATAAAATCCCTGCACAGTTAGTCCCCTCCAGGGTATACTTTGTGGAGTACCCACATTAACATAAAAAGGGGTGAGGAGAGAAGACAGAATCAGAAAGTAAAAAAGAGAAATCTTGAGACCCACCAGGATCATCACAATACACTTGCTTTTTCTAGTAGGGAAATGATCTTCAGCCAAAGCTAA